CACCCGAAGGGGTTCCCGCCTTGTCGTGGCGGGGGGGCTCTAGTAGCCGTGGTCGATTTCATCCCACGGTGAAGCTAAGAGGAACCCATGGGGGGGCCGGCCGATGGTGGTAGGCTGGCCCGAGGAGGGCGTTCCGCGCGGGGCTCGTCTGGTCAGCGGGACCGCGCGGATGCGCGTTGGGAGGAGGGTTACGGGGGGAGAGACGTGTCGGTGTCCGTGTTGCCGCTCGTCCTGTCCTCCGCGACACTGGTGGGGCTGCACCGCTTTCGATGATGCAGTGGCGGCGGGGCCGCGGGGGAAGCGACGTGTCGGTGTGTCGTTGCCGCTCGTCCTATCCACCGCGGCCGAATGTGGGCGGTTGGCCCGAGGTGGGCGCTTCAAGGGACTCTCTTCGGAGAGTCCGCGCGGCAGCGCGACACAGGCTCCGCCGCGGGGGCTGGGGGAGCAGCCACTGAACTTCACAGTTGAGTGGATGCTGTCCTGGCCCCCCCATGGCCCCTGGGTAGCGGACTCGGGGGAGTTCGCTGCCCAGCATAAAGGGGCCCGGGATGGAAGGCTCGTCTGGTGTTCGGCGAGCCTCACATTCGGAGTCGGGGGACCGATGTGTCTCCCTTCTCGGGGAGGGGCAGCCGCTGGTGGGGGCGCGGACGAGTGCAACAGCGTACCCGTACCCCCACCTACAGCGGAGAGGAGGAATACTCCGGGGGTTTAGTGCGGTCGGGCTGCTCCCCTTCAGGGTTCAGCCCAGCCCTACATAACTCCGGCTCTGTCCCCGCGGGGCCGGTGTATCTGTAAGCAGATTCCCCCGGATTAACAAAAAAAAAAGGTGGTACAGTCATCAACTAGTTATGTCTAATATTAATACAAACCACCCTATTTTTTAAATATCTTATTTTTAATTTTAAAAGAAACATTCCAATTTACGCTACATTATGTTTTACAAATTATTTTATTTTAACAATATGACCACAATGAAAAAATAGGGTGGTTGGCTAATGCAACCCCACCCCGTTTGTATTAATATTAGACATAACTGGTTGATGATTGTACCACCTCGTCAACCGTGATCATGAGACCTCGAAGGGGCCCGAAATGTAGGTTTGTTTGAAAAAACAAATCTACGCGATTTAAATCCGGAAAAATAGTTTCATTTCCTATGTGTAACAATCGCGAAAACCCAAGAAGAGAGGTTTAGGTTAGAGTTATATTTAAATTCTCATGTCAACACACCCTCTTACCACATGAGATATGCATGTGGTGAGGACGTGGTGAAATGACGGTGGGTTATCCCGGTATTCGGGAATCCCGTTCAATCAGTCAATTGTCATATTAAGGAACATTCAAATCATTGTATTTAATACTATCTAAACCCGTATATATGCACATTTAAATAAAACTGCATTTAAAACAAAGTACGGACAAATATAGCAGGGAAATTGCAGCTGAAATAACGCAAACGCAGTTACGGTTAATCGTGACAACTTACACATTGCCTTATCAGATCGCGATCAGAACGCACGTGCGCAATTTCAGAGCTCTCCCTGGCCAAAGTCATCATTAACTTCAATTTCAACTTATAACAAAATTCAACGACTACTTTATGAATGTTTAAGTTTTATTGAATTTCACGACCACCACGATATTCAATTATTTTTGTGAAATTACTCCACTCGTTCTTAATAATTATTAATACAAAGGTCGAACGCTTAGAAAAAATCCTTCAATCCGGCTAGATTCGAACCAACATCTTCCAAAAGGTGTAAAAGACCTGGTTGAGTGAAGCAACGCTTTCATAGATTTCTCGCTGATGGCGCCACGGCAAAAATAGTAGTTAAAATCTAAAAACAAAGATCTGCAAGAAGCACGGAAAAATTCGTTAATTCCGCTAGTTCTTTTTGTTTACAGTTTGCTGGAAGACGGTTGGTTCGAATCCAGTCGGATCAAAGAAATTTTTTCTATGTGTATCTTGGTATTAATAACTTTAAGAATAATTCACACTCCGTTGAAGGACATTACTTAAAAAATCTCATACATACATCTAAGTATTAAACAACTATGCTTTTTTCGGTGGAGGTCTAAAAACACCAACCACAACCGCGTGGTCTCTTTCGTAGGGTTCTAACGTTAACTGTTCTTGTGGTTTTAATTTGTCAGCTTGGAGTTTCTTCACTTCAGATGCGAATACTGCTTCTGGTTGCGCCGTTGAGTCTATACAGGAGGCCTGAAAGGTGTTGTTCAATTAGTTTGGTCGTAGATAGGATTTTAAAGAGTTCCATAGTCGGATATCTCAGTGAGAGAGTTCAATGTTTCAACATGAAAAATTTAGATGCAATATTTCATCATAGTTTGTGATAGCTGCTTTGGGAGCTTGTTTGACGTAGAATAGTTGCTTAACTATACTTCGTTTCAATCCATTTTGAAAAGTAAACAAACAAGTCACTGACCCGACTATAGACAGTTTAGTGATGGCCAATTTTACTGCCAACTACAAATTGATTAATTAATTGAATGAATGTGAATGAACGATTTGTTTATTTGAGTCATACTAGCGATTTTCCTTATATATAATTTCCGAAATCTTAATTTTAAATCCACCTTCAAATTCTTACACTTAGATACTCGTTCGATTGCGATTGAATTTTTTCGATTTACTAATCGATTACAAATTTTGTAAAGATTTTACGATGTTATTCAAATGAATATTGTTGGAAAAAGTGGTGAGATATCAAGTCAAACCTTCCAAATACACGTGAAAGTGTTACTTATTCGATTTGAGTGATTGCTTTAGAAATTCAACCAAAACCGTTTTGTTTACATTTCGTTAATGGATTGAAACAGACTATAGTGAAGGAAAAGCAAGCAAGTAATACATTTATCTCCTTAGGTTTGCGATAGGCTCGCGAGCACGTGCATTACGTAGTGCGATCTGTCCGCGTACCATTAGCGCGCCACATACACTGACATTTATATTTTATTGTCCGCATGCAGCACGCGTGCAGTGCACGTGCAGCACACGTGCAGCGCGGTTGCGGCGCGCATTCGTCAGATATGTACGCACCCTAAAGCAGTGTTGGGCAAAATTTAATTGTTATGAAAATTAAAGATTAACAATTAATTAATTGTCAATTGCGAAACAGTCGTTAATTGCGTATATTTACAATTAACAATTAATCATTTTTCAATCTTTTCAGTGTTTTTGATTAACAATTAAAACAGACAATTATGATAAATTTATAGGGCATATGGGGGTGGGTTAGGGGGCCGGTTGGGGATCGGTTGGGGTCGGTTAAGGGGTCTTCGGCCTGTGTGGATACTTATTTTTAAAACCTTCTCCACAAAGGTAGTCTAGTCACTTCAACTGCACGTGCTGTATAACAAGTGTGATTACGCGCTAAAGGAGATACATAAACGTAATAAGTCACGTCAATTGAGTAGGCAGAAGTCTCGGTTATCAGTTCACTAAAATATACTCTGAAACATCCTTACCTTAATAGAAATTACAAAATGTCCACCATTTTTCAAAAAATGTTGCGCGTTCAAACTGACAATTCTTGCTTGATCGGGCTGCGCTACGTCCGCGAATATCGTATCAACCATACCGACCAGCATTCTGTAATACAATAAAAGAATTTTTAAAGATGTGGAGAGGAAACCATTATGAGATACATGCCTAGTGTGTAAGTCAGAGAGAGAGTTCAAAATGTATCAACATGATAGATTAAGTCATAAATTTTCATCATTAAAATTAAAGTTCAAGGGTTTTTTTGGGGTGCACGGATGAAGAGGAGCAACGTGCTATTCATGCTCTCTGTAAGTCTGGCGGACCCTGGGTAACAATAGGCGAGTACGTTACGCCGATTGACAAATCCATTTATCACGACGGCAAACACGTCTCACACTTCAGTATGGCCACTACTATTAGTAACGGCAATAACTTCTGGGGGTCTACTGCCGTATATTTTCATGCCTTGAGAATACGTCTGTGATGGATCCACGATTTGTTGCACTTTAGAAGACGTCAACGGCTTTGTCGCCGGAAGAACAGAAGGTATTAGTAGGTAAGGTAGGTTCATCCAATGAATCAAAAAGCAGTACATACACAATTGAAAAATTTTACGGAAATCTGAGAGATGATGCAACAAGAAACGGGCTTTTATTCCACTAAAGACATCAATAAATCGTTGTCCACAGAAGAATCGCTGGTCATTTTGTATCAATAAAATTATTCGTGCTCTCCTTCCAAAAGATATTTCAATACTAGACGCCGCTTGTTCGGTGACTATTCGATAAAAAAGGTACGACTTCACGCCGTGTGAAAGCGATGCATTAATACTATGTCCCAATGCGCCACTGCACACCGAATATGTTAAAGTTCATTCGAATTGCTCGACAAGTCTGTTGCATATTCGGTAAACGTATGGAAGTTGTGTGCGTTTTTTTGCAGGACAAACACCGTGTGAACGGTTTGTATGCACCACTGTTTATTCGCTAAGATTTATACTGCAAAAAAACGTGCAAGTACAATGCTGCGTGAACGGGTGGCGAGGGTGGCGGGCGCAGTGGCAGTGCCCATCAGATCTTTGCGATTTAAAGCTCTGAGTGGCATCGCAACTGTTATAGTTTACCACCAGGCGCACGGCTTATTCGTCCCGTCAAATTACCACGGAAATTGGGTAGTGAACATGATCGAAAAAATATTGCTTTCAAATTCACAATGACCCCATTGTCTTCATTAACAATATAAGAGTTAAAATTTGTAATTGTTACCTGTATTTCAATGGATGTCTCGCATCTTCAATAATAGGTATAATATTAGTCCTCTTCTTTGCCACATTAATTAAATCTCTTCCTGATCGATGTGAAAACTCCACCGCATATACTAGACCTTCCTGCAATTGTAATAAAGGTTTTAATTTTGTAACCTCTGTAGTGGAGTAACTAACTTTTCTATATCTCGGGTCTGGGTGTTTGTGGTATCGTCATTTCAGATTTCCAAAGACAAGTGCTTTAGTTACTTTGGGATCAGAGCAATATGTCGATACCTGCCACGTAAATTGGACATAGTTATGCAAATAAGGACCAACCCACACCTCGAGTGAAATTGAGTTATGTATTTAGGTAGAACACCAGACGTGTCTTTTACCCGCTCACAAGATTCTGGCAATATACCAAGCCAAAACGGAGAAAAAAAAAAGTCCTTCAGGGTAGCAAAACTAAATAAGTAACTTTTTAATAGCCAAAAAGAACCATACTGCTAAACTTTAGTACACATGTGACATGGATCCATGTCACATGTACTGAAGTACTGTAGATCTTTAGCGTTTTCATAACGAAAACTGGAACATGGTTCTCGTTAACGCAATAAAAAGATACATGTTTTCTATTTATTGCTATATAATATAATAGTTTCCCTATATCATTCTCAATGGTACACATAAATAACTAACCTATTTATTTCTTCGCACTGTGATTATAAAAATCTAATCATCTCGAAAGTGGCATTTTGTGGGTTGGTTCTAGTTTGCATAACTATGTCCAATTGTTGTAAGCCAAAAATAGCATACCGACTGTGAACTGACAACTGGTACTATCTCAGTTTTGACAACTTTACAGAATGAAGAAAAAATCTTTTGTATAGCATCTGGTAAATAAAAATACGTAGTGTACATACATACATGTGTAATAAAAATATCTAAAAAGCACGTATTTTTATTTAATAAACCGGATACTATATAAATGACGCAAGCAATTTTTTTTCTTCAACCTGTTAAGTTGTCAAAATTGAGATGGTACTGATTGCCAGTTCACAGTCGAGATTTTACTTTTTAAGTTAAATATGTACTTTTTAATGCATAATACAGGTTCCATATTTACATGTAAGGAAATTACTTAGTGTTATGTTTCAAACGAAAAATTACATTAGAAAGTATGAATTTTGTAGTAGACATAACTTACCGGTCCAACAATATCAGAAACATGGCTAACAGTGGTGCCACTGGCAGCTCCTAAATACAAAACTCTAGACCCTGGCGGCATATGTATGGCATCAACGCCTCCCATGATGGCTGCGGCCAATTTCGATCTGAACGGATTCCAAACTCTGTATTCTATCTTTTCGCCTTCGTTCTGAAATGTTTTGCGTAGTCAATTATGTGGTTCAGGTGTGGTGGTAGATGGTAAAATGTGGCATGGACTTCAGTTGTGGGTTGTGGATATCGTCTTCACGACTAGGTCAAGATTAGAGGGACCCTTATTCATCATTTAGGTGTGTAAGAGAACACGTGATATGGACACGCCATGGAAAAATGTCCATTTTGAATAATCATATTTTAAAAAAAAATGTTTCTTTCAATTTTCCACATTTGACGTTGACACCAGTCAAAAAATTTACGAAAACGATGGAGCCATTAAAAAGGCATTTTATCACTGTTGTGAATCATCTCCTTTATCTTAGTGGCTTTTGGCCCTACAAGTTTATTTTATAATTGATGCTAAATAAAACTTCAATTGATATTTCTAAACGTAGAACATAATATGAGAATACGAAATTATATATTTCCAATTTTTCAAGTTTTTCGCGAACTTTTCTGAAAAAATGTTCACTATTTCAACCTTTACGGAAATTTACCCAGTTGGGTAAATTACAGTTGTAATTCAGGCTAACTTTCAAATTAAGACTGTGTGCGCCTTTAAATTAGATTCTTGTAGAAGCACAGCCGTCTGTAGCAAGCACAGAATGAAATCTAGACAGATCGGCGATTTGGGTGGGGTACGCGTGCCATAATCTTGACATATCAAGATTCCCCGAACGCTCTCTCAGTATGCGTCGATTATAAGGTATGTTTACCTCAACTGATATTCTCTTTTCACCATAAACTTCGGAGCCAGGTACTAAATTCTTTGTCACCAAGGCATCTTCTTTCCCTCTAGCGATGAATACTCCAGGATGTCTAAAACAAGATTCAATGTTAATATTTATAGATAATAAGTTACGAAATTGGTGTATGTAGTGGTGTTGATCAGTTATGAGTATGTTGGCTTCAAGCTATTCGCTTTCAGAAGAACGAAAGTCCTATGTTACATCATTTCAGATATATCTTGTAATGTTTTAGGGTTTAAAACTGCACAGCTTTTTATGGCCTCAAGTAAAATGCTACTCAAGACAGTTTAAAAGCGTGCCATGTTTTTTATTTTTTGAATAGTGGCATTCTATTTTTGTGACAGGCCATGGTAGAATATCAAGCATAGATCTCAGATGCTGAGCCATGGATCTTTTCGACACGCTTTTTATTTTGCTTATTTGTTTTAACTTTTTTTCTATTATTATTATTTCCTATTTATTGTATTTATGAACGAATTATTTAATATTTTATAATTCTTTGTATTTTATAATTGAATAACACACACACACTCAACATAGCCCCATACTAGGAAAACTCTGTGTCGCGGGTGCCACGGACAGACACATAGACAACCCACAAATTACACCCAAGCTCACGAGAGAAATAAATGTAGGCCATGCAAATACATACAAACACAACAAACTTAAATTCAATAACAAACAGTAATAAGAATTTAGTAGCTGTAGAGCTTCTTGTCAAAGACCTCGTCCAGGTAAGTACTTCCACCATACCTATTTCGGCCGCCAAGCAGTAATGTAAGTATTACTGCGTTCCGGTTTAGAAGGGTAAGGTGCTGGTGAAATTACAGGCACATGAGACTTGTCAACTTATGTCTCAGGGTGACTGGCGCAGTGGCCATACCAAATCTTTATGATTTAAAGCTCTGAGTAACACTGCAACTGTTATGGGCAGGCGTGTGGCTTACTACCAGGCTTGTTCATTCCGAAACTTGGTAAACCTAAGTGTGCTACTAGTAAATTCATAGATATGACATAGTAACATTAATCAAATTAAAAATATTCCAAACCTGTGTGGTTCAATGACAACAGTCTTTCCGCCCTTGAAGCCACCACCACCGCGACCACCTCTAGCCCCTCTGCCCCTACCTGAAACCAAATCACTTTGTCATATGTGTGGTTACAAAATTGTTTGGTAAATGCGTGTGATGACATGGTCAGAAATTGGGTGTGTGGTAAACATGGTCCTCACGAATAGGTCAGGTAGAGGGTATGTTTTTTTCATCATTTCTAGTTGAAAACTTTGTGTCGATAGAAAAAGTTATGAAGGTAAACACAGTATCTGTATACAAGCCATTACTGGGCATGGATCTTTTTTAATAAAATAAAAGAAAAACACGAAAGAAGAAAAATGGATCGAAGGAATTTTTTCTGAGTGTTCGATCTTTGTATTAATAATTATAACTAGTGGAGTAATTTCACAAAAAAATAATTAAATATCAATTCAATAAAAATTTAAAAGAAAAACAGTTTTTCTAAAATAACTTTTAGCGGCTTGGTGCATAGAATTCGCGGCAGCGGCAACAGCCTCCTGAGTATAATTGCAAACAGAATCTAGGGTTCTTTTCATGAATTTTTAAGTACTTTGTTACTAACTTCTATGGATGAATATTCCAAAATAAAGGCATTTGAGTAAAATGTGCTATTGTAATTTTTTTTTTAATTTTTCAATGAATATATCCTTACCTACGTCGACGGCATCTACTATGTGTTTACCTGTCATAACGTCATTCTCGAGTGTGACAAAAATCTTTTTAGATAAGCACTAAGTTACTACATATCTTCAAATAAAAATGTACATACCTCCTCCTCCAAATCCTCTCCCACCCCCACCTCGCTTCTCAAACTTGCCTCCGCCCCCGCGCCCCCCACCGAAGCCGCCGCCGCCGCCGCCGCCGCCGCCGCGTCCCCCACCGAAGCTACCACCGCGGCCTCCAAAGCCACCTCGTCCGCCCCCGCGACCTCCGCCTCTGAAACCGCCGCCACCACGGCCTCCATTGAACTCTGTAAATTAATAATAATAAAATAAAGTGCATAGTTCAACAAATGGATCTTTCCACTTTTTTGGGTGGTCACATCGTCCCCTCCGACAGAAATGGACGTAAGTTACAATTGTCTTCATGGAAAAAAGTTACGTATAAAGTTTGATTTACAATTTCCTACTTTCTCAAACTCATATCTTAAAGCACAAAGTTACTGACTGAAATGCAAAAAATAGATTTAGAGTTTTGCCATCTCCTGAATATTCACTCTTTATAAGATGTTGAACCTTTCAAAATTGTACTGCATTGGCTTTTATTGTTATTATTTTATCTAGAACTGCAGTCTTTAAACCATAAACATATTCCTGCTATACTTTTAATGTAGTTTGCAATAAGGAGACTTCTTCCTCAGTCATTACTCAACTTATTGTGTTCTAATGATTTATCTATCACATAAACAACAATGTAGTATGATTCAATTATACCTGCAATGCTCAAGTCAGGATCTGAGTATGATTTCATGCACTGGAAAATACGCCCCTAATGGCAGGGACTTGAGTATGATTTCGAGTGCTTTAAACCATACTCAAATCCTGACTTGAGCATTGAGTAGAGTTCTAGAGTACGACTCTCAGACACTGTATTAAAGCTCAATGACGAGTTGTGAATATTATTATTTTAATATCAAAGAACGGGACAAATATGCCATGCACCTGATGCTATGCGACAGTTACAGTGCCAGAACTTTAATACTACCATTGCGCCTTGCGGCTTAAAGAATATTTAAAAAGTCAGGAGTGACTTTTGTGATTTCCTGCAATATAGCATTTAGCATATAGCATTTTGCAGGAAATGTGGTATCAACATGACAGGTGTCCTGCTCATTATGCCCGTCCAGTAGAATATCACAATGAAGAGTACGCAGGTCGATGGATTGGGTGCCTTGGTCCAATTTTCTGGCTAAACTATACATGGAGCGAAATACGGAGTTCAAATAAAACTTAAAATTGCCTATGTAGCTGAATGGTTACCATGCCACCTACCACACAGAGATCCAAGGTTCGATTCCCGGGGAGGGAAAAATGTTTGTATGGCCTACATTTGTCTTTCGTGAGTTTGGGTGTAATTTGTGGTTGTCTATGTGTGTGTCCATGGGACAGGGTTTCGCTAGTGCGGGCCTATGTTGTGTGTGCGTTATTAATAAAATTACCAGACCCATAGTGTGGACAATTTACCAGCTTATATGCCTATTTCACTCCTTTGGTGTGTCGAGAACTCGACAAGCACGCGGTAACGCGAGTTTGGTATTTGCTGTATTTGTCGAATAGGCAAACACATTGTCACACATGCTATTTACACACGATTTTTGTTTGCAAATATATCAAATTCAAATAGCCATATGAAATGCCACCATTAGAAGAACAATATTAAAAAAACAACAACGATGTGCGCAGCAAGCGGGAGTTCATTTCCATGATTATGCGATTGGCATAGCTTTGCTACAAAGGTGCGGTTTATTCTAACAAAAATACCACGTGTGACACGAATCTATATATGACTATAGTAGTTTCTACGCAAGAAATCTTCAGATACACAGTACATATAGTACACTAAGACGTTTCAACGAAGTTTTTCCGGCGTCTGATGCTGGGTTTGCAAACATAACCTCACATTTCGTTATTTAAAAGATGGCACATTTACACGATAAATTGCTAACGCTGCACTTACTACATGCCATGAATGCAATTAACTACATTCTAAATGTAATAAGTATACAAAGTTCAGCTTAAAATCATGTCTAAGCGAGATATCAACCATGCGGTAGTCCACATGTGCATAAACTTAAAAATTCAGAGGAATCTTACCTGGTTTACCCATTATACGATCACAGACTTTATTCGAAAACAAAATAATACAAATATATGCTATTGAACACTATCTAAACACAAAAATAAATTTTATTTTATTATTACGCGGCGCAGAAACATCACGCCCTGTTGCCGCTGCCGGAAATGAAGCCATTTTGGTTTTGGTTGGACAGAGTTCTCAGAGTTGCCAATACCTATTGTTTAAAATCCCCAAAAATAAAGTAAAAAAAAAAATGCATCCAATAGTAATTAAATCTGCTATACGTCTGCTATGAATTCTAATGATAAATAGAATGTAAAATGTAAAGCTTGATTTACAATCATTGACTTACAATTATATGGACGTCGGGTCCGCGCTAAAAAGTGTCCGAACTTATAGGGCGTTAAAATCGTATACAGAGCGTCATTCACGCTTTAGTCTTCGTTTGTTCGACTGACAGCGAAGCAAGCAAAATTAGACAGTACTGCGATGACATTACAATTAAAATTCAACGTTTTAGCTTATTCATATTCCTTTACATGTCACTACGTTTAAATAGGTTGACTTGGGACATTTTTTCCTGGTTTTTGTATTAGTCCCGTCGTCCATTTATTTGTAAGTCAATGTTTACAATGCACAAATACTGGCAATATATTGCCGCAATTTCTTGCGTTGCGCGAAGTGACCTTAAATTGACTAATCAGGAGCAGCGACTTTAGCTCCTTTTTGGTTAACAAAAGATCATATCGCATGAATGAAATGCATGAAATTGCGGCAATATATTACCGTAATTTGTGCATTGTAAATCCACCATAAAACATAAAAAGGATCGCGCCAGCATTGGTAACACAATGCTAAAGTTGGCAATAATCAACGAGTTTTGTTATATTAAAATAAATTAAAAACATCGTTCACGAGTGATTAACTGTAGTGTGAAAATATCTTAGACTATGTAAACCATCCTCTAAGGAAAGTAACAACCACTTGGCTATGTTTGAAAATAGCTGATTATATTTTTCTTCAAACCAGGGACCGGGGTGTTTTTAAGGAAAGATCGGTTGCGGGTTTAACACGCACCGAATGATAATTTTGTAATTCCGATCAAAATGTTTAAAATCCTACCGAATAATTCGACTATCCCTACACAATCGAAACTTAAAAAATATACTTTTTTTATTAGCGTTATCTGCATACAATAGCAGTATCTTTCGATTGGGAAAACAATAAAACATAAAATTTTATTAGTTTTCATTTTAGCAACACGTAAAGTATGAAATGTCTGCCGCTGCTCCCTTGTAAACTCGCGTATTTCAACTTTCATCCGTTTAGGCGGGAACTGAAAGCGCGCGAAAGCAAGTGAGCCGGGCGCAACTAGGACTATCGATCGCGCCTGTTATTTTTCATTTATTGGTTGTGAATGCGCTAAAATAATGATTATGCGTTACATACTTTAAGTAAATAAGTGTAATTACTATTTCAAGATGCATAAAGGACATACAAGATCATCCAACGTATTGAATTTTATCAAAATGGAAGTAATTCCAACTAAATCCAAGTAGAAAACACTGCTCCAGGCCAGTTTTTTAGATTTATTATTTGATTATAATTATAATTAATACCCACTATGGGAATTCACATTATACATATTAAATAAGACAAAGCTATACGCACTATATTTGTGAGGAATTATAAGTATTTTCATGTAATAATCTATTTGAATTCTCTTTTTTACGTATTACCGAGTAAACCATCGAAACTCGAAGTTTCTATTTTATACAACGGAGTTATGGCAACAAATTATATCGTAAGTCGTAGTTTCAATACTTTACTATGGAAACCATTTTAACGTTTTAATCGAAACTGTTTGTTTCGATTATTCACATAGCACCTTTTTTTTATCACCATCGAAAGTGATAGTTTCGATTATTTACGTAGATAAAAATGTTTAAAACATCACCAGGATTGCCAGTTTCGGTATTTAACGTTGGTGAAAATGTATACAATTCTCTAGTAGATACTTCACAATTTTTTTTTGTTTTTAATTTAATATATTTTTTAAACAATGTAATTTATAACGCATTTTTTATTTAATTACTCTTATCATTAATATACAGTATGTTTTTTTGCTGGGATAGTATGGAGAAATCCGAAACCATAGGAGATACTAGAAAACTTCTTAGGAACCATTATAAATCTTTATATTTGGTCAAGCGTGAGTTCATAATTACAATACTTAGAAATTAATAAAATGTCATTTTTAAAATTTTGATCGACTCAGTTGTTTGTAAGGATAATTTAATTGTACCGAAGGAAAAAATCGTCCTCAATCGATCCTCACAGAAAAAAGAGCATACTTTATATTACATACTTCTAATTCTGTTTCATCAGTACGAATAACGAATTGAATTTCAAGGCGCTAGAGGCACTGGTCGACGACGAACTGTCGTCAGAGCAACTTTGACCGCCTGGCAATCACTGTAAAAGTATTTCACTCTTGCAAGCAACTACAGATCAAATTGATAGCGATAATAACGCAGTGATTTTATATAGCAATGAGAGAACTCCAATGCCATTTCCCATACAATCAAATTGTGATAATGAAGAATCAATACCTGACAATATTTTACCTCTAGCTGCAGATTCTCCACAAGTGTTGACGAAATCATCTTACGATAGTTATAAGAACTCTTCGAATGGTTGATATTGGTATTCCAATTCTTAATATCAATATACCTGAACACAATAATGATTTTTTTTATATGACTTTTTTTGTTTAAACGTCTGGATTTTCACAAATTATTTAATTTATAGTTCGGGCCTTAGTCACGTATAAAACATATTTTAAATAATCTTGTCGTTTCGAACGTACTGTGACGTCCATGGTCTCGAAGGGACTGAAGAGACGGATGTCAACATCTTCTAGCTGTGCGAGTTTTTCTAACTACCCGTACTTGGTCTTCATTATTTACTAGGGTTATCACTAGACCGACCCACAACACTCACGATATCTGGCGACTTGTCGGGCGATACTTGATGTTGTTTACATTTGCTGATGACTGGATCCCACTATGATGAAAGCTTAAACCTTTTAAAATTTTGGTTGAAATTATGGTGTTCTTTTAATTTTAATAGCTTCACGTACGATTGTATTATAGTGATGACGTTGTGTAGAAAGGATCTTGGGATTATGAAGCTCAATCCAGTGGTTTGGTCCTGAATCCAGCAAATGCTCGGCAATTGCAGACTTATTGAGCGGACGGTTCCTAACAGCCGCGACATGTTCTTTAACTCCTTTTTTTTATAGTATCAAGTGACGGGACGAACAAGTCGTGGGTCTGATAGTAAGCTACACGCCTATCGATAATAGTTGCAGTGCCACTCAGCGCTTTAAATCGCAAAGATCTGATGGGTACTGGCATTGCATCGCAGTCCATAGCAATGCGCGTTCGGAAACGGACGTGCCACGACGAAGTGAGTTAATTACACCTAACTCGTGTTTCGAGCGGCACAAGCCGCTGCGCGTAATTGACAATGAGTTCCCAGCAACTCATTGCCAATGAGCTCCTGGCGTTCATTATGCACGCTATCGACACCATGGATGAAGTCAGCATAGTGCAGATATGCAAATCAAATTTCAGTGAAGATGAGATTTGCAGTGGCAAGATGCTGCTTTTCCAGCGTCTCGGTAAAGCCGAAGAGATGCCATCTCGCCGGAGGGATGTAGGGAGTATGGATGGAGGGAGTCTCCAAGACATAATCACGCTGCTGAAGGAGACTGACCCGGACGACGTGCCTACATTCGTGGCGAAGGAGCTGCACAAGCTGCCCCCCGTCACGTTCGACCACGTCGATGTTACTAGGCTGCTGAAGGACATTACGTCCCTGAAGTCTAGCCTAGCCGAAGTACAGTGTAAATTAGAGGCTTCGGATAACATCATAAGTGGGCTGCGTACCCAAGTTGCGTTATTAAGCAATGCTGTTTCGGTATGTAGGTCACCAGAAGCCTCTAATGTAAACACACGTCGCGGAGCAGCGCTGAATGCCTCAGTCAGCAGTTTCGAGTTGGCACACAATGCGTCACCATTCGTTGCTGCCACCGCGCATGATGCGCCGCGCCCCGCTGCCCGCCCCTCTGCCTCGGTGGAAATGTCACGCGTGTGCACGTCAACCCCGACACGTGCATACGCCGCTGTAGCCGCTTCAACTAGCCGACCCGCCACTTCGAAATTCGAGCGGCGGCAATCAGCTAAGGATAAAAACAATTTCCGTGTGCCTGTCTCTGAAGTTGCAAAACCACAGAGTCAGACGGTCCAGTGCGACGAGGATGGCTTCACAAAGGTGGTGAAGAGGAAGCCCACCAGCCGTAACCAGTGTGGCACAGCTCCGACAGGACCGAACTTCCTGCTGCGTCCGGCCGTACCGACGACGTTGATGTACCTGTCGCGGCTGCATTACTCCACGAAGTCTGAGGAGATAGTGGAGTATATCAGGCATAAAACCAAATACACCCTGAGAGTCGAGCGGTCGGAGTCTCGCCGCAACGTGAACTTCAATTCGTTTGTGGTAAGAATACCGACCGAACATCTTTCGACCTTCATGAAAGAGGAATTTTGGCCGAAGGGTGTCATATATCGGCGATTCCGCGGCCGGTTACCTGACACCAGATTGCGCCACACGTTGCCGATAAGGGAAATCGTGTAGATTAGTTTTTATTATTATATTGTATGTATGTTTGTTTTAAGGTATATATAATATAAGGACACGTTTGCGCGCAGCCACTACACAAGCCATGATGCACTCACTACGCATGCGCACCGCGGCGTGCGCCAGCGACAGATCTCCGCCTACGTTCAATTCGCGCGTCCGCGACCCAGCGTTTGTACGTGTTGTATAGAGTTACGCCCGCCGCGCTCCGACCGCGCGGCTTTTGATGTTAACATACTATAATATGTAGGCCTCACGAATAAACTAAGTGTGTATTCTATTGTCGGTGTTTAATTGTGATTCGTAATATTCCCAACAGTTCAGAAGTGCGATGAAACATTCCCACAAGAATAATAATTATAAAATCAGTGTTTACATGTTAGATCGTGTTTCGTTTTCGCCGCCATGTTTTTTTCTATAAGTGCGCTGGG